TCATCCAGCTGCCGAAAACTGGTTTCTTTTCTCAAAGTCTTCAATCTGTAGTAAGATCATCCACGTCAAGGTTTCCAGAGCTTCGACAGACAGCTGAATGGAAGATAATGCTCTGCCATGGCCTCCCGAGCTGTAGCCCCCTCCCCCCGAGCTGTAGCCCCCTCCCCCCGAGCCGTAGCCCATCCTTTTATCCCCGTAGAAGTGGTAGAGGCTGAAGACGAGGAGGGCGAAGGGGATGAGGCCGAGGAGCAGCAGTGCCGGCTGCGCGGCGATGGCGTCCCCGATGTCGGTCAGGAAGGTGCTGATGGCGTCGGCGAGGTTCTGGGCCAGAGTGGAGAAGGCGTCGTTGACCTCCGTGGTCAGCCGTGTGTTGGGGACTGGGTTGGAAAGGGCTGCGTACTGAAGGTAGTCTTGGTCGTAGAGGTAGTCCAGGTTGCTACTTCCTGGTGAAGGTAAGATAGAAGGGTCTTGTTCAAGGTAAGTACTAGCCCTCAGGTCTACTCTGTTTAAAGTTGGCGAGGCTTGCAAAGCATTCAGCTGCTGGAGCAGTTGCAGAGCCTCAGCCAGAGTTTCGTAATTGGGGTAAAATTCAGGTTTCGCAAATCCCTCGGGATCGGGATGGGACACTCTCTCGTGGATGATCTCTGAAGGCGACATCGGGATGAGTTCGGAAGAGGGAAACAGAAGGGCCTCCTGCCCGCCATTGGCAGTGAGATCCGAGTCCGTACCCAAAGGCAGCTGTGAGGTGTCGAAGAAGGGGTGTCCGAAAGCATTGACAGCCAGACTAGGGTGAGGAAGAGGCTCAGTCTGTGAGGAAGGGTTCCTGTTGATATACTGAGGGACGGGAAGAATCTCCGGGAGGCCGTCTTGAGAAGCGGAGGCAGGGGGCGGCGGCGGGAGCTGAGTCGTCGGCCTGGAGGGCTGGGCGCCCGAGGACATGGCGGACGCGGGGGTGAGGTGGTGGAGGCTGGAGCCCTCGGCGCCTGAGGCCAGGTGCTTGGCCTCGCCGCGAGGAGGCCCGAACGGTTGCACTGCAACATTGCCTACCAAGTGCCCCTCGGCCGTGCCCTCCCGCCGCTCTGTGAGAAAGATCGAGGATGGGATGAAAAGGACAAGGAAATAGCGGCCGCTTTAGGGGATCCTTTATGTCAAGGCAGTCCAGGTTCGTCAGTTTGAAAACACTGTATAGACCAAGAGACATAACAAATTATCATGCATGCATACATATATGTATGTACACACACACACACACACATACATACATATATACATGGATATGCATACATACGAATACATATATATAATCACACACACGCACACGCACATGCACACACACGCACACGCACACGCACACGCACACGCACACGCACACGCACATGCACACACACACACACACACACACACACACACACACACACACACACACACACACACATATATACATACATACATATGTATATACATACACACACACACATCTATATGCATACATTTATGTATTTAAGTGTATAAATATACATATTTATACATATATATATATATATATATATATATATATATATATATATATATATATATATACATATATATATATATATATATATATATATATATATATATATATATATATTATATATACACACATATGTATACATATGTGTATACATGTATATATATATATATATATATATATATATATATATATATATATATATATATATATATATATGTATATATATATATATATATATATATATATATATATATATATATATATATATATATATATATATATATATATATATATATATGTGTATATATACATACATACATATATATATATATATATATATATATATATATATATATATATATATATATATATATATACATATATATATATATATATATATATATATATATATATATATATATATATATATATATATATGCATATATATATGCATATATATATATATATATATATATATATATATATATATATATGTATATATATATATATATATATATATATATATATATATATATATATATATATATATATATGTATATATATATATATATATATATATATATATATATATATATATATATATATATATATATATGCATATCTATATATTTGTATTTATACATATATGAACATATACTACTAAATAAATTTGAATGTAAACGGTGAAAAATATAATAAGGAAATGAATTATCTAAGTAACACTTAGAGAGAAGTATGAAACATAAGGGAAAAGGATATATAAGCATACAAAAAACACAAACAATAAAAGACTTTTTCTGAAGGAGAGATGCGTGCTTACAATCTAGAATAAGATTAGTTATTTGCCAACCCATGCAAGCCAACAGCATCAGTAAGTAACATGCACGTGTTTATATGTGGATGTTTCTATCTATAACTGTATAAGAGTGCATAAACGCTTTCGCATAAAAGTTTGTGTGCAGAGCTGATTCCAGATGTGATCCAAAG